GGAGACTGTCCTTGGAGATTGGCCTTGAAGCTGTCCAAGGCATCTTGGTCGCGCCAGTCGGTGTCCTTCTGAAGGAGGCACATCAAGGGTTTAGTGAGACTCGCGTACCCTGCGCTGTACTTGCGAAGGTAGTTGGCTATGCCCAACCACTTTCGAAGATCCTTTCGGAATTGGGGTGTTTGCCATGCTGCAATGGTCTTGACCTTGTCTGGGTCAGCTCGAACGCCTACGTTGCTGACGAAGCAACCAAAAGGCTTAATCGCTAGTGCCGCGAAGACGCACTTGTCGATGTTGACGTAAAGCTTGTTCGCTCGCATCACGTCCAACACTCGACGAAGGTGCCCCAAATGCACCTCCATGACCGTCTTGCCTCCCTCACCGCGGTTATGGACGAAGCTTCCGTCGATATACGCTTGTATGAAGACACGCAATGGCCGAAACAGCTACGTCATCAGGTGGTTGATGTCACCGGGGCGTTAGGCAAGCCCTGCGGCATGACGAGCCTCTCCCGAAGCATGCCCCATGGAGTGCTCACCGTGGTGAGCGGGCTGTCGCTCTCGCGCATTAGGATCTGATAGTATCCGGCTACGAAATCCAGCGCACTGTACAGTACCGTTCCAGCCATGTTGTTCAACAACGCATCCTTTCATGGGATTGGTTTCTGGGCCGGCAGCGTCGCGTTGCTCAGCTTGTTATAAGCGTGAACTAGACGCCACTTCCCGTTTGGCTTCCGAACGTTTGCGTTGAGTGCTGGGACTTTGACTCCCACACCATGCCTGCCTTCGCTTTCGCAGCGAGGAAGACATCAATGACCTCGCACTGTTCGCCTGGAAGATGCCATTGTCTCGTGTCACAGTACGTTGTGCCAGGCACGATACCGATCTGATACCGTACGCCTCTATCTAATGGGAGTTGGGTTGGTGGACGCTTGTTGACCACGTCCGCGTACTCCGTTTACCAGAGGATACACCGGATCTCCGGGGCTCTTAAGGATCTCAGAACCCGAGCGCGTCCGACGCTGCTTCCTCACCCCTTCCAAGCCGTTCTAGTCCAAGACAGAGGAGGGGGAAACGCCACCCGAGTGGCCTCAGATCTTATGAGCACCATCTCGGCAACTTCCCCATCCTTGATGTTGGCCAGGAAAGTCTCGACCGTCATTTCCTCGGGTTTAAAATCTCTGCGGCTTCTGGCAACGGCTCCAAGTAGACACCAGATTCCTTGGCGGGTAAACCGGTCTCGCCATCGAAGATGTAAACAAACGCTTCAACCGGCCGTGTCGGAGGATCCCGGGCCCTGGACTCCGAGTCACTGATAGCGACGTCGATCTAGACGAGGTTCAAATCCGACTTTCAGCGGCGGCTTCGTCGTCGACGGCGACCGTGACGTGGAGCGTCGATACTCACGTCTGGGGACGTCGTGGTGCCGACTTCTGAGGCACTCAAGGCCTCATGGCGAACAACGTTAACCGCACGGGGATCGCATCTGGCGTCTTCCTCTTCAGCTAAGGTATGTGCGACCGTGTGTGATAACTGCAACCGGGCCAGTAGAATCGCGTCACCTGCCGCTGTGTACTGCTTGTTTTCCGTATAGTACAGACCTTGCACTGCCGCTGACGCCACTTTCAAATTTGATTCACCTCCACCCGCTCGTCGTCCATCTTTAGCTGGTGGGTGGACGGTGGAACGTCGCCATGCAATGGTGTACCGGTCTAGGTGAGTACATCTTTGGACACATACAGTAATAGTTAGCAATGTGAGCAACCAGCAGAATAAGCATATTCCTTACCGTGTCTGCAAATTTGGCCATCCCCACTTGTAGTATCTGGGCTTGCAACTGAGCGATGAAACCGGCGCGACCTGCCGGAGGATCGCCTTGCAACTTGCAAACGTCGCGGTGCGCAATATAGCAGTTGATGATAGCCATGTAAAAAAACCATGGCCAAACGCTTGTAATACTTCCGAAAGCGTAGGTAGAGTTGCAGCGAGTAGCGCTGGAGACGAAGTTGTCGTAGACATCTACCCCGCATATACACCGATATTACGTCGTCATGGCGGCGGGGCAAGGCACCGTCTCCTTCTGTCCTTGTGTACCTGGAAGGCGCCGCTCTGTTACATTCAAATAAACTACATGGTCAGAAAGTAGTAAGCTGTAAAAATAAACTGAATAACTTACCACAAGAGCTCATTGCATAGCTACTTCCACACGCCAGCATGTACATGATGGTATTGTCGGACCAAACAAGAGCGGAGAGCTTCGGAACAGACTTTGACACCACAATCTGGGTTGTGCCACGAGCGGTGTTTTTCGGACTTTTTTTTCTTTTCATGCTTCAACGATGGAGGAGACCCTTTCTAGTTAGCTTGAATGGTCCCCACAGAATAGACGTCCCTCTCTAGAAGTTGTAGCGAACTTTGTATCGATGTATAGAACCGATCGGTTGCCACCACGTAGAAAACCCCGTCTTTCTCAGTAGGAAGCACAGCGTTCATGTTCCGTAACGTTGCTGCTGGACCAGAGCTATCGTCCACAGGATCCACTTCACTCTTGTCACGTCTATTCGCTCTGTGCTTTTTTCCACAGTAAAGCTCCGACCTTCACACGCAGTTTATCTACCATTATTCGTAATTGCACATGCGTGATATCCAGCACGGCGAGAAATTCAACATTTCAAATCCAGAATAATCCGACATGGGTTAGTCCAATACAAGCATAGCATCAAGCATGTGAGACTTTGTCATCGAAAAAAAAACTATGCATGGAAGCAGACGCTATCGGGAACACGTACCGGAGGCAATAAGATGTCTTCGCACAGCACGTCATGAAAAGTTTCGTCATGTGACAGCGTACCTGGCAGCCGAAGATCGAGGTGGCGTTAGCGGTGAAGTCTGTTGCCCAGAGGAAGCACCTTCCGATGTCGCCATGGGTCCACGATGTGCCTGCGCTGTGTTTGTTGCACATGGCGGAGATGGTGTTGCTATAGTCCAAATCTCCACCAACAGACGCATCGCTACAAACAATTACGAACATGAAGTGTGAGAAGCACATCGTACGCAAAACGCATAATCTCCTCACCTGACGGCTTCTTCATCAGCAGCAACGTGTGGGCTCGCTGTCCACACAGATTCGTCAGCTCTTCAGCTCTTAGACGGCGCGCGCTTACGCTTACCTTTTGCTTTGGCCTTGCCAGGCGTCTTTGCCGGTATTTTCTTCTTCGCCGCCTTCCTCGGTGTTGTGATCTCTGCCGCTGTCGCCATGTCAAACTCAGCGTCGCTATTTCCATGGTCTTCTACTGTTTCCACGTAATCTTCGCCTCCGCTGTCACTCCCATCCTCATCAGTAAAAGCAGCATCGACAGCAAGGTTTTCTGCATACAGTGCTGTGACTGGCGCCTTCCATTTCAATTGCGGCGCTCTTGCCAGCAAATTGTAATACCCCACTAGTGCACCCTTCTTCTGGTACGTAGCTGGGGCAGGAGGCTTGCGTGAAGCCACTGTCATTCTAGGCCGCCTTCCCGTTGCTGCTGACGTAAGAGCTGAAACAAGCGGTTCATCCGCAACTCCGTCGCCAAAGTCAGCATCGCGGTCATCCGTACCGTCGACATACGCACGGTGCTCTTCAAGCAGGCGGGATCGTTCTGCGCCTCCCTTTCCCTCGAGACGACGTAGGAAGGCCTCCGCTTCAGCGCGCGTGACGCGGCGGGGGGGCATCTTGGTCCCGCGCTCTGTTTTGGAGAATAAATGGATGGCTCAGAGGCTTCTAATTTAAAGCACTGTCATTACGACAGCGTATCTCCAAGGAACTTTCTCTTTGCAGTTAGGACCCCAAGCCCTGTACATTGGGGACTAAACAGACTAAACGCCCATTCTATGACGACCCCCACATGCTTGGGGGGTGAGGGGGGGGGTTAAATGACTCTGGGACTCAACCCGACGCCGTACCGTAAACTATACTTCATCAAGTGGCTACCAGACATTACGCAATTCCATGTCTATGGTTAAGACTAGTCGACAAAACCATTTCAGGAACTTCCTGCTGCTGCTGTCAGTTAAAATTCTTCTAGGATGCGACAGAGCTGGTTGTGCTGACTATACTGTCTAACAGCAGCGCCGACTCACAGGAAGCTTTAAACGGCGGTGTGGGTGTAAAAAACATTCGGCGCCTAAGAATGCAGACAGGGCCAACAAAGGATAAAGGCTCTGGCAGGTCGGAGGAGAGAGTACCTGAGTTTCGCGAAAATTGGGGCTACAAAGCTGCAAAAATAGCAAAGAAAATACTCACTTTCAACAGCCAGAAAGTCAAAGAAACAACATTGCGAATGTTGGAGTGGTGGATTCGAAACGTACAGACGCCGCACTGGCTCAATCGGTGACCAACATCAACAACAAGATACCTGAGATAAACGAGGGGGCGGTTCTGTTAGCAATGACCGCTCAGTACGGAGATGACGCTGTGATCAAACTTCTTCAAAATACACAACGTCCCGGCGCGTCTCAAGTTGCTAGGATGGTTAGAACCACCCAGTTCGATGGCTGGATCGAGCAGAAGAAAACCGCGGGTGGAATCTACACTTTTCTGAAGCTGGACGTTAAAGATGCTGATGTTTTGGCAAAACCATTGCTGCACACCTGGATCTCGTTCGTGAAGACCAAGCTCAAGGAGGATCCGTACGACTTCGCGCTTTAAGTGACAAAGCAGTACGAAGAAGACGCACTACGTAAAATGCTGATGACAGACAGCACCACGGCCAGTAAGAGAGATATTGCTAAAGGTTTGGAGTTTGCGCAGATAAAGAAATGGCTGACCACAGGAAAAGCGGAAGATGACGTCTTGAAGATTTCACTTGTACCTGCCGACAAGGAGCTCGGGCTCCAGCTCTACAAACCTTTATCTCCTACGCGACTAAGCATGAGTTTTTGGTACTCAAGTTGGCGAAGAGGCACGGCGAAGACGAACTACCTAAAATGCTAGTTAGGGCGAAGTCCGACTCTGATTTGGTATCCATGGCTGTGAAGTTGGAATCGACGCAGTTTAAAATCTGGAAGGAGAAAGGTAAAACGAGCGATGAGTTTTTTAAGATGCTTCGTCTAGACACCGACCAGAGTATCGACACACTGAAGAGCCCAGGCCTAGTTTCATGGTTCTCGTACGTGAAAAAAATTAGCGAAAACCCGACCGAAGTGCTGTACCGAAAATTGGAAATACGTTTTAGCGATGCAGAGATACTGAAGATGTTTTTCGCTGGGAGGAAGGACGGCACTTTAAAGTTTTCGTTGGGTCCAATGGTCCGCTTGATCAAAGGCAATTGGCTGGGTCAAAAGAAAACTGCAGAAGATGTCTTCACCGATCTCTCCCTACACAAAGATGGCATTAATTTTTTTGAAAACCCGATACTGGTAACTTGGTTCACCTACGTAAAAATTATGCACCAGGAGGAAGCAGACAACGTGATGTCGTCGGTGATGACGAAATATTACGACGATGAAACAGTGAAGAAGATGGTTACCCACAGCTCGATAACAGGGAATCTTAAAGCCACGGCAACACAAGTGGTTTCTGAACTGTGGTTGCGCGAAGGAATGTCAGCACACGAGGCTTTTAAGGTTTTGAGGCTAAGCGGGAAAGGCGACAACGCCTTATCGGATCCCGCATTTGGTACATGGGTCTCATACTTTAACAAGTTGCAACGCAAGAAGATGAATCAAGACGAGTACGCTATTATAGCGGAGCTATCAAAGCATTTCGATAATGACCTAAATCTTGCACGAGCACTTAAGGCTGCAAAGACCAAGCTTCAGGTAAGTGGTACGTCAGGTCCGATTGTCGCTCTGCAAAATTTGCAGCTCAAACAATGGATGCAGAGTAAAAGCTGGATTCCGCGTGAATTAAAAAAATACCAAGACCCAAGGTACGTAGGCGTCTACCTTGATTTCCACGACTTCTACACAGCTAGACACTGAAGTGAATCGAGGATCGCCTACTCGTCGACAAGAACTCTTAAGTAAACAGGCAGCCACCACTTTGACGACATACGAAATGGTATAAAAAAAATCGGTGTTTTTCTTTTGTTTATTGAACGGTTTTGAAAGACAGGTGAGGAGACCAGTTTGTTAAAGGCACTGCACTAAAATACGTAGAAGAGACGCAACTTCCTACTGTACATGTAGTATAACACCTACTGTTGGCTTGATGCATGCACGAAAGCTGTCGACTTTGCCAAAACATCGGCAGTATTCAGCTTGTGGATTAAGCATTACAATAATACCTGTAAAACAGAGCTGTTCCGGCGGCATTGTCTTCAATCAATTGTATGAAAAAAGCTCAATCAGAAACACGGCAGAATATCACGTCGCTAAAAAATAGTTCGAGCCCCGAGCGCTATATAAAGGTAGCGAGTGGTTAGATTTAAGCTGAGCGGTTTTACAGTCCGTCTTCGGTAGTTACGAAACGAGCTGACCGATAGGACGTCGTATCACCATAGTTAGGATGACGCACACTCCGGTCTCAGCTCGAGATCTCACTCTCAAATAATCAGACCCTGGTGCAGAGATCTCCATGGACTCTACTGCGTCTCCTCGCCAACAACTCGATGGACAGTCAACGAGGCTTCGGTCTCCCATTATCCGCCCGATACACGCTGACACTTGCGCTATCGAGCTGGATACGAAACTCCCTCGTCGGTGTAACTGGTCAATTGAGAGCTTTCGAGAGGTGGACATCGGGTCTCTTCCGTGGTTGGGCTGGCTATTCATCTACGCTTTCGTTCAATTCTACTTCTCCATCAGTCGATGTCTCGCACTTAAAGCGCTAGTGATAATGCACGGGAGTGCCACGGACTACACGGCATTCGTCAAGATATCAGCGTTGAGTCTCGGATTCTTCGAGGATTTCGTGTGCACCACGTACTTCGCCACCGCGTTGTGGATATCTGATACTCTCAAGCAGATAGTGGTGGAGCGATACGGCTCAACGAGTGGATTGAGGCTAGATATTGCTGGAAAGATTGCCACATTCACGGTCTCGTGGGTGTTGTTTATGGCAATGATGGCGCCATTTGTAGCTGATATGATGTTGGTGGTATACCGAGATATGCGCTTCTCGTTCCGTCTCCTCGCCTCTTTGATCAAAGAGAGGGAATACCTCAAAGCCGCGCCGATATCAACGGACGAGGTCCAGACAGCTTACGTGACTGCAGGCTACCTCTTCGTTATTGCTTCATTATTCGCGATAGTGCGAGTCTGGGCCAAGTGGGCAGATCTCACACTCTGGAACCCGACGCAGATAGTACTGAATCCCGTGAATAACTCAACAATCGGGAAATTATCCAAGAGAGGTGCAGGAGGTGTCAAGTACGACGCACTTGGTAGAGAAACTTCAACAACACGATACCAAGTTGTACGCGTTGCTGTCGTCATCACGGGTCTTGTGCTGCTGCCTGGGATTGCCGTGGCAGTCCGGAGCGCTTGCTCGCCGCTCGTGGCGTACGCAGCGTTGAACGTGACACTGAACGAGTTGCTTCTCCACATGTTCGAACCTGCCCCCATGGAGGTAAAACTTGCAAACTTAATCGAGAATTTACCGTGGGTGGAAGAGTTTATCGACAAGGCCGAAGAACATGAGCGCTTTGGAGATGATACACTTTTCAGACGCACCACAGGATTCAAAGGAGAGCTGGCCTTTAACATTTCTATTGACAACGACAATCCGCCAAATGTTTTAATCATTGGAGTGGAATCTTTCCGGTACCGAGACTCGCGGTACCTCGTCGGAGAGGAAGACCCGTCAAACCTGTTCAAAGGCTCAAATTTGACAATAACGCCGAATTTCGACCGATGGGCGAAGCGAGGCGTCGCCTTGCGCAATATTTGGTCCAGTATCCCCACGAGTCGGTCTCTGGAGAGTGTGTTGTATGCGCAAGTCCCGTATCACAGCAACACAGAGACCGGGATTACTGGAGGAAAGAGAAACACCAAGCTCTCGGGTTTACCGCAATTATTCTCTGAAAAGGGATACGAAACCTACTTCACCACGGGATCAACGTTAGGATTTGATAATTGGGACACCTTCCTGCCCTCGCATGGCTTTGACAACGTATGGGACGCCGACAAAATGAAGAGAATGGCGGAAAACAATTTTAACATCAGAAGTCAAGACTGGGACAATGACGAACACCGCGGTTTCAGCTGGGGTGCCCATGATGACCTCAGCTTTCGACTTTTAGGAGATTTTCTACTCGAAAATAGAGCAAAACAGGTCGAAAGGGCCCGACAAGGAGAGCCCAAAGTGCCCATGTTCGTCACGCATTACACCATTTCGAGTCATGAGCCTTATGACTCACTGCCCAAGTGGTACGAAGAGTCCGAGAAACCAGACTTTTCGGCCATGTACGAAGGTGAACAGCACGCAGACAGGATCAAAAGGTACATGAACGCGCGGTATTTTACCGATACGGAACTCGGCAAGTTCATGGACCGCATGCACAACCAGGGATTCCTCCACGACACCATCGTTGTCATCTTTGGAGACCACGGACAGGCACCCGAGGTTGACAAGTTTAACTTGCACGAAGAGTCTGCGACGCGCGTACCTGCCGCTATCATTGCTGAAGGGCGATTGGGTAATGCTGTGGGGCTTGTGCTTAATGACGTAGCCGAGCAGTACGATCTTCTAAATACTCTCGCAGACATTACTGGGTTACCGAAGGGAGGATTCCAGCAAAATGGCGTCGGTCGGTCACTGAAGCGTAAAGCTTCTTCCAAAAAGCATGTCGTGTATAGTAACGACCCGCTGCGCAAGATGGCGATTGTACGAGGCCACGAGCGTCTTCGTTATGACGAAATTACAGACTCAATGATGCTGCACGACACGGAAACGGACTTCCACATGACAACGGATCTGTTACCGCTCCTTAAACCAGAAGAGCGTGCTGAGTGGGAAGCTTTGCGAGAGGATGGACGTCGCATTACCGCATACTTCAAGAAGCGGTGGGACGAGAACTGTCTCCTCGCAGTCCAGTGCGAGAGCCTTAGTTGACACTGTCAACTTGACAGTTGACCTTACCGGCAAACCGGTAGCTGACATGGGTTTGAACGCTTCGGTCTTATAAGTAATTGGGTGGGATCGTCTCGTCGATGAAGAAGACGAAGCGGCACGTATGCAGACAGCGTTCTGGTCTGCAGTGCTCAAAGAGAAACGATGACGATACGCAGGAGTCCATCTCGGCGTACGAGCGAGAGGAAGCGCAGAGTCGTATGTGGAAATTGGTTGCCTAGAATTTTTAAATGGAAGATCGGCTGATCTGCAATAGTAAAAAAACACATGCGGATGGGTCTATTGACACTAGTCAAAAAAATTCCATCAATATCGATCAAGCAGAGGTGCAAGTGCACCACGTTACATATGATACTATTGTGTACACCGCCATGCGGGCCGTAGTGGAGTGTCTGCGCTCGATCCCAAAGCGCTTAACCCCGTCAGCTTCGAGAAGTTGCTTGGCTTGAAGCATGGCAGACATGGTTGCGCAGGCTGTGCCACGTATTGCAATCATTATTGCAAGATCGGTGAGTATTGCTGTTCTTACTGCTACGTGACGGCTTTTTTCCAATACATAGTGCATGTTGCTATCTTCTTTGCAATGCCCTCTCGTACCCATTACTGCCTTAATGCAGCCGCCAGTCTACCCATGATATCGCGATTGTAATGCGTTATTGATGATTGGTTTAACTAGTATTTGGTTGCTTTACGAATTCTACACGCAGGTCAGTACTTCATATTATGAAGTACCGGCGTATGAATAGACCTCGAATTCTACACGCAGGTCAGCACTTCATAATATGAAGTAACATGAAGTACTGACCTGCGTGTAGAATTCAAGGTCTTCTATTTGGGCCGGTTTCACTAATATTGAAGGTAGTTGGTTTGGTGTGAGGACTTCAGTACTAATTGCAGTATCGTGCGTTCCAGCAATATGTATTGCAGTATTGTAAATGCTTGGAGAATGGCATTGCAAGTAGTATTGATCATTGAATTTTTACTCACCACTGGATTAACCCCTCCATTACCAGAAATCCCCTGCAGAAACCGCCTATTTACGTCGTAACTTACGACTTCATTTATATATTGATTTCACTATGAACGTGCTCTGCCCACGTCAGGGTTCATAGGAATGGGTGTATAAATTTTCGACGGATTCCGGATTCGAAGTTATCAGTGTTACGACTTACCAAGTACACTAGCGGTCTCAAGACCCATAACTTACGACTTTGTGAGCTAGAAAAACAATTTATGTAGCAACAGCTGATGATATACCAGCTGATCGGAGCGCAAAATACCAAGTTATATCATACTGTCGCTTCCGTTTCTTCTCCTTCGCCGGCGTGTAGACGCTCAGAATCAGCCTCATTGCCCAAGCTCACGGCGAGTGGGATTTCTAGAGCTAACCTTACCTACACGACGGCGCTTGCCCAGACGCTCAGGAATTGAAGCCCCACTCTCAAAATCTTCATGCCACATTTGGTAACAAGTCTTGGGCAAACCAGCGTAGGAACGACGTGCATTTGGGGAAAGGAAGCACTTTGCGTCGGGCTGAGAGCAGTCCTCGCAATAATAAGTAGTCTGGAACGACTTCTTGCGTTCGCCTCTGAGCAGCGCACATACCTTGCATGCTCTTAGGCGGCGCTTTTGAAAACTCGACATCGTCACCCAGTCATCAAAATTGAGATGAGTGTGACCTTCTTGCCGACGGCGCTTTCGTGAGCGCGATGCTGGGGAGGGCGTTTGGGCTACCAGCTCGGCGATGCCTTCGGGATTCAGTTGAAGTAGTTGTTTGTGAAGTGTAAGATACCAGTGTCCGCAATACTTTGGAGCGCGCCGTTTGATCATGCACGTCTGTTGTAAATCTGTAGGCGTTTACTAAGGCCAAGTCCAAGAAGCCCATAAACAGCGACTTATAGTATTTCGCAACCGAAACGCTGCCTGGATCGAGTATGACTAGAGGCGGAGATGATCGTGCACATCAACCCCGCTCATCCTCTGGTATTTGCTTACAAGCTTTGGCCATTTGATTGTAGACGATCCCCCTCCTTTGATATTTCGATGAATAGAATCTTCAGCCATTACCGGGCCCGTGGATAGGTAGTGTACGGGCTTGCGGTCCCACCATTGGCAAGCAAGCATGGTGGGAACCGCAGTAGCACGCGAGAAAGAGAATGTTCCACGCTCAATCCGACGAGGACGAGTATTGCGACGTTCGACAATGCGCTTATTATACCCCACACGGTCGATCTGAATCGTTCCCAATACGTAGACGATCATTGTGAGAAGCTGGATAGCCAGCGCTACCGATGTATAAAATCGGTCCATGACGACAATGCCGAACCCCTGTGGACGTTCGCCAAGAACAATCTTCATATTGCGGACCACCGCTGCAGCTCCGGTCTTGTTGTCAAAGGCTTCTTGATCCGTATCACCCGCTTCTCGTTTGCCCACATACACTTCAACTCTAAAATGGGAAGTTACGACGTTACGTACACAAACGTTTTTAGCATGGCGTAAGTTACGACTTTAAATACGTAGTACAGCTCCCCGGTGACAATAGGCGGTGATAGAGTCGCAGACCATAAATAACTCGACCCGTATCGACGGGGTCTGTCCGGCATGAACATTCGAGTAGTATTACGCTTAGAAGTTGCTGGAAGTACACCTTCGTCAAAGGAGGACTTACTTGGAAGCGACCAACCGGAAAGAAAGCGCGCCTGTAGAACGTCCACAACAGACCGTAGCTTCCACAACTTGTCTCGTGCCTGTGGCGCCTCGTTGTTGACAAAGTGCATGTCTCTCAATATTCAAGTACATCGATTGCGAGCCATAAACCTTCCGAAATTTCCAGCAGGAAACGCCCCATCCCCCGTCATTCCCCAGTGCTGTGAGAACTGACAATCATCGGGTTCAATATCCTCGCGACCAGTAGCCCGATAACGTGTAAAATTTCGTGCGCTTCATACATGGGCTCTGCTCGCAAGCGACGAATAATTTGCTTCAGGCTCTCTGGTGTTGGTACACCACGTTTCTGCTGGTTCGGCTTTATTCGTTTAGCTTTTGTATGCACAGTCTGGTTCTTGTAGCGATTGGTCTCGTTCGCTACACGAATCCACAGAGATTTGGGCACGAAATAGTAAAGTAGCAGCATCGGAGAGTCTGCTAGATATTGTAGCTCACGGACTGGTGACGCCACATCGCACGACAGCCCAGGGTACTCTGATCGGCCACTCTCGAACTCAGATGGCGGTGCACTCCACTCCATCTCACGAAGGACCTCCATGTTTATAACGTCCAGGGCCAAGTGGCCGCTCAAGGTCTGGATAAAGGCAGCGTCCATACCAACTGCTACTTCCTCAGAATCATCAGAACTGCTCGGATACCCCCTCCGCGTGATAGCTTCTTCGCCGCTGCTGTCACTCTCGTCCCTCCCATCTGATTCAACAGACTCATACCCTTCAGACAGTCCATCAGCCGCTAACACGTTCACGTCACTTGCGGCGACGACGACTCGGTCATCGACTCAACGCTCTCGCGATCCTCCACACTGAGTCCACCTTCTCCGTCTACGCTCGGGATGTCGCCCCCGGTATCATTACTGGCGTCGCCGACTGAGACCCTGCTAGCAGCGGCTATATCATTGACCGGGGTGGCTGTCTCCTCGATGTCGGATTCACTGCTCGAGCCGAACGTGTGCTCAATCGTGTTCGCCGATAGCATGATGGACGTGTAGATTTGGGATACCGTCACCGTCTCGTCAGCTGCAATATCTCCGTCGACTACACTACCTCCGTCGGCCTCCGTACCGCTGTCATCACTGCTATCCACTGAGAGCCCGGACTCAATCACGATGGTTACTACATCGCATTCACCTGCGTAGACATTAGTAGTGATACTGCCCGATAAAAAAAAGGACTCTAGACGTACCAACGAATGACTGTCCGCTGGGGGAGGAGTATCTCCACTTGTTTGAGAGCCCTGAAGGGCACTTAGACGTGCAGCCCGCTGCTCGGAGCTGCCGCCAAAGGTGCGTGAAGTCAACGGTCCGCACAGCGTCATCGACCGCTGTCTCTCTGTTAGCCGCGCTTGACCGGATTCTTGCCATGCTGGCCACTGACCTGAGCTGAGGACTTATCACATGAGAGCGATCTGCAGCGCACACACCCTTTCTTTATCCGGACCAAATTTGACCTCTCCCACCTTATATTTTGTCTCATAGATTTTAACTTGCTATCAGTAAGGTGTCCGTTTTTTTCGAGCCATTTGCTGTTTAAGCCTTATTCTACGTCGTAACTTACGACTTTCGCCCTTCACAAAGTCGTAAGTTACGACGTTGGTAACGGAGGGGTTAAGGTGACGCGTGCAGATTGTATAAGATTTTTAAAGCTGTGAGATACGTTTAATAACCTTACGACATACTTGTGGAAGGCTTGTGCGCCATTGAAATTTTCCAAATCTCATTTTTTCCCGAGTCCATTGCTTGAACTGCACATTCTGCAAGGTGTCAATCGTCTTTCTCACCGAGATAACAGCGAGCTCGTCATTGTACTGGCTAAAATTAAAAAAAAGTTTTTTTGTTACATTTCAGCACATATTGTGCGGAGTTACCAAGTAATTATGCTTAATCTGGAAATAATACAATTTTACGATCTACGGTGAGTGTTTTTGTTACTTATTCTAGAATTAAACTTCTGCGTTACCAACGTCGTAATTTAAGACTTTGCGAAGGACGAAAGACGTAGCTTACGACGTACAGTGCAGCTGGAAGCTTCAAGCAGGAAATGGCTAGAAAAAGGTGGACACGTTACTTTAATCAAGTCTAAATTGGCTGTAAAAATCAAAGGATGAAGGAGGTAAAACTGGCAAATGCTAGGAAAGGGTAGGGCAGGGGTTGATGTGCAGCACTGAACTGTTCACCAGCGGTTGCTTGGATGAGTTGCCATTAGCACCCACTCGCAGTAGTGTCTTATTCCAGAATTCGCCAGAATGGCAAGAGT